GGGAAGAAATGGAGGTAGTGACAGGTTTTATTTTCCTGGGCTCCAAGATCACCACAGATGGGGACTGCAGCCAATAAATTAAAAGATGCTTGCTCCTGGGGAGGAAAGCTATAGCAAATCTAGACAGCATACAAAAAAGCAGACACATCACCCTACCAACAAAAGTGTGTATAGTCAAGGCTATGGTTTTCCCAGTTGCAATGTATGGCTATGAAAATTAGACCATAAGGAAGGCTGAGCACCAAAGAATTGAGGCCTTTGAACTATGGAGCTGGAGAAGACTCCTGCAAGTCCTTTGGACTGTAAGGTGATCAAATTGGTCAGTCCTAGAGGAGATCAACCCTGACTGCTCTTTAGATGGCTGGATCCTGAAGATGAAATTCAAATACTTTGGCCACCTAATGAGAAAGAAAGACTCACTGGAGAAGAGCCTAATGCTGGGAAAGACTGAGGGCAAAAGAAGGGGACGACAGAGAATGAGGTGGCTGGATGGAGTCACCGAAGCAGTAGGTGTGAGTTTAAATGGACTCCACAGGATGGTTGAGGATAGGAAGACCTGGAGGAATGTTGTCTATGGGGTCACAATGGGTTGGATATGATTTCGCAACTAACAAGAACATATTTGTCCAGGAACTTTTAAATATTTTGTGTCCTACTTACCCTGGTTTGTATTAGGTTGCTCCAAAACATTGGTAATGTGGACTAATGCTTATCTACTCAGAGCATCAAATTTATTATTTATACGTTGCCTTCATTATTTTTATAAACAACTCAGGGCAACAAAGATTCCTAATACTCCTCCCTACTCCTATTGTCACCAGAACAACAACTCTTGAGTATTCAGTTGGGTTGAGAGAGTGGCTGGTCCAAAGTTACCCAGTTGACTTTCATGCCTAAGGTGGGACTAGCACTCAGTGTCTCTTGGGTTCTAGGCCAGCACTTTAACTACTACAGCAAACTGATTTTCTTTTCCAGATATCCTGATCAAGCAGAGCTAAATACCTATGGTGATTTTCAGTCATCCAGCTCATGGTTGTCCCAGTTGCCTCTTGAAAAAGCACCTTTGGCACTCATCAAGCAGAGGAACATCCGGCTTTTGCCAGGCAAAGAAATTCTGGATCAAGTAATCACTTTTCTTATTCTATCCTCAAAGGCAAAGAATTAGGGTTTTAGAAGATGAATCAGCGCAGGAGAAGGCAATATGTCTGAGCTAATGGTTCAAGAGTGATTAATGGGGTTTCCTCCCGTTAAGAAACATAAATCATATCTGGATCATAGGATTCTTTGCACTATTTATCCCTGAAGGGCAAGTTGTGAAAGAATACTTTATAATTCTTTAAACCCAAACAGATAACTTCGTAACTTTGGGCCAATCACTCTCTCTCTCTCTCTCTCTCTCTCTTCCCAACCCACCTCTGGGATTGAGAAACGAAAATGTCCATTCCTTCTTTACACCCAGTTGTATTAAAGAAAGATGAGGCAACAGCTCACAAAGGCTGGATGTTACCTTTAGAGATAAGATGGTGATGCAAGAAAGAATCGATTTTTTTCATTCCCCTAAACCGTTCTTGTCTGCCCGGAATTCACATATCGGACATTAATACAATCCAGTGAGGTATTTCAAGAGAAGAGTCCTCCACTCCACTGCTTGCAACAGAATATCTTATGCAACCAGGCATGACATTTTGGGCTTGGACAACCTGGAACTACGCCAATTAAGGTCAAGCATAGTACACAAAATTGTCTGCTACAAATTGTCCTACCTGTCAACGACTACTTCAGCTTCAACTGCAATAATACATGGGCAAACAATAGGTACAAACTCAAGGTTAACCGCTCCAAACTCGATTGCAGAAACTAGGACTTCAGCAATAGAATAGTCAATGCCTGTAATGCAATACCCGACTCTGTTGTTACATCCTCAAACCCTCACAGCTTCAACCTTAAACTGTCTAGCGTGGATCTCACCCCATTCCTAAGAGGTCTGTAAGGGGGTGTGCAAAAGGGCACCAGGGTGCCTACCGTCCCTGCCCTACTGTCCCCATTTATTCGTACCCATTTCATGTATTCCTAATCATGTTTATACTTATACCTGTTATCTCGTACATGTTTGACAAACTAAATAAATAAAAAATAAATAAATGTTCCTATTAAGACCACAGAGAAATCGCTTCCCTGATTTATAAGCCAACCAAGAGCCCCGGATAAGCTAAACTGAGCCGCCAACCCAAGCCAGCTGCACTCTGCGTATGCCCAGAGGCCCCTGCCTTCCCGAGCTGCACTCCAAGGCTAATCGCTTGATCCTTCAGAATAGATTCCCAAGCCGATCGCAAGGTCAAAGGAAGACCCGTTTCCCCCCCTTGGGGAATGAGAGGGCTACTTACTGCCCGTGTGCACCCAGAAGGGCACAGATCCGTCCGGCTGCACCAAGTGCGGACCCTTGAAGCTGTACTTGTATTCGAACCGCCGGTGAGGCACCGCCGCCCCGGAAGCGCCGCCGCTTTCCGCCTGGCCTGTGGCGTCTGCCGGGGAGAGGAAGAGGCTGCTCAGGCACAGACACACGGCGACCAAGAGCTTCTTCGCGGCCACCGCCGCCGAACCGTCCTCCCGAGCCCTGAGCGCCACCATCTTGGACTCTGCTGCATGGAACCCGGCTTGGCCAACAGGGCGCTCGCTGATTGGTCCGGCCACCAGGAGGGCGGTGCCTCCCGCGGCCAAAGGGCAAGGCGTACGGTACTTTGCTCATAGAGGGCGTGACGTCCTCGGCCACGCCTTTCAGGCCCCGCCCTGAAAGCGCAGCAAGTGGGAGGAAGAGCGGTTTTTTCGGATTTGGCTGTTAACAGTCGCTCGGTGCTTTTTTTCGCATTGGGGGAAAAACACGTTTCCTTGAACATTAATTTATAAGGATTAACTAGTTTAAAGCAATGCTGCTTTAATGGGGACGGTTGATCGGCAAAGGAGAAATACAACGGGGCCGGCTTGCTTCTCTCTTATTATTAAGTTATTTAATTTACTTAATATATTTTTATTTATTTATTTCATCCATCAATGAATTAGATAACAGATATAAGTATAAACATGATTAGGAATACATGAAATGAATAGGAATGCAAGGGAAAATTAACTCTTTAACTGGCTGGGTCCCATCATCCCCTGCCAGAAGCATAGTGTGAGGCAGGGAGTGATGGCAGTTGTAGTCCTTGGCCTCTGAAAAGCGGTCGGTTCAGGTGGGAAGTCTAAGCCTGTCAGGAAAAAAAAAAGGAAAGGTAGCCTGAGTACAGGTGTGTCCTTGACTTACGACCACAAGTGAGCCCAAAATTTTCTGTGGCTAAGCGGGACGGTTGCTGTGAATTTTGCCCCACTTTCTTGCCACAGTGGTTAAGTGAATCACTGCAGTTGGTAAGTTGGTGACATGGTTGTTCAGTGAATCTGGCTTCCCTATTGACTTTGCTTGCAAAAAGTACATGATCCCTGGACATTGCAAGCATCATAAATATGAATCAGTTGCCAAGCATCTGAATTTTGATCATGTGACAGCATGCTGCAACGGTCATAAGTGAAAAGCAGTCAGGTCACTTTTTCAGTGCCATTGCATCTTCAAAGGATCACTAAATGTTGCAAATTGAGGACTATCTGTATATGTGTAACTCAGTTTATCATTTTAAAATCCATATTAGGGATATTGAAAGTAATGAAAGGGCTTACTAGAAGTGTAAGTGAAAAAATCCAACATAAAGCAAAGGCTTGGGTGCTATCCTAGATTCCTTGCATTTTAGAAGAAAAAAAAAGTAACGTTCTTTTTCCATGTAGGTTGGTTGTCTGGTTTTTTTTGGAGGTAATGTGATAGATTTGTGTTGCTTCATTAAATGAGGATTATGTTAATGTTTATAAAAGCTTTGTAGTTGAGTGGGTTTCCACTGGGAATTTTTCACTGATGAATACAGTCTCTTTTAAATCAGGGTGATGACTTCATGAACCAATTCACTTGGGTTTTTTTGTCCCAAAACAGAAATGTTTTGTCATTTGGAAAGATATTTCTCCAATGTTCTAGTTTATCTAAATCTTGGGATTTCTTCTTCAAAGTCCAGTTTTTCATTTCCATAGATTGTCACAGAGAATGGCATGATTTTGATTTTTGTAAATACTATAGACACATGCTGGCATCTTTATCGTAGTTTTCCTTGCTATTTTGAGCTGTAGTGGTGCAGTGGTTAGAATGCAGTACTGCAGGCTACTTCTGACAGCTGCCTGCAATTTGGCAGTTCATATCTCACCAGGCTCAAGGTTGACTCAGCCTTGCATCCTTCTAAGGTCGGTAAAATGAAGACCCAGATTGGTGGGGGCAATAGGCTGACTCTGTAAACCGCTTAGAGGGGGCTGTATAGCACTGTGAAGTGGTATATAAGTGCTATTGCTACTTTACCATGTGCCAATCTGTGATGTTTTTCATGATTGCTGGTTTCTAAAAGGCAAAAGCAATCCGTCATTCATTGCCTTCACTGTCAATTCTACCTAGCCTGCTGTCATTCGATAAATCTTTAACAGTCTCATTTTTAAGTATGCTCCTTGGCTTTCATTATTAGAGCTTGCAGATCATTTGCATGTTTATTCTCAGCTATCAGAATATTATCACCAGGATAGTGCAAGTAATCGATTATTTCTTGCTCTGATTTTAAAACCGTACTTCCTTCCAATCCATTGAGGTTTCCTTAACATATATTTAGTGTACTAGTTGAATAAATAAGGGGAGGATACAACATGTTTCACTGTGTTCTGTCTAGACTGTGGCTTCCTGTTCTGTGTATAGGCTTCACATGAGAACAGCAAGATGTTCTGCGATTTCCATTTTCCTTAGGACACTCCAAAACTTGTCCTGATTGGCACCACCAAAGGCTTTTCTATAAAGAATGAAATATATGTTGACTACTTTTTGGTATACTTTGGCTTTCTCAATTATCCAGCATGCATCAGCAATAATGTCTCATGTTCCTTGGCCTGTTCTAAAACTGGCTTGAACATCTGGCGTTTCTCTCTCCATGTAGAGCTCTAAATCTGCATTGGATGATGCTACTGTAAGCATTATTTTCTTAGCCCATGAAATTAAGTATATTGTATGACAGCTTGTGCAGTCAGTTTAGTCCTCTGGTAATGGTATGTACATTCATCTCTCCCAATCTATGGCTCACTGGGACATTCTTTATATTTGCTGGGATAGCTTGGTTAGAACAAATATTTATTTTCTGTTGCTTGCCATATATCTGTAGATACGCTTCAAATTCCCTTGGCTGAGTTGTAAGTTGTCCAGGGTCTGGTGGCTGTTAAATAAATCCATCAATTTCTATAGCCTTCCAACTTTGCAATGATCGAGGACACTGATCTAATTTCAACTTCTAATACTAGATGGTCTTGTAAGTAGGGAATATCTTCTAAAGTGTCTTAATTTTTATAACTCTACTGTGCGGAGTTATAGTATATTTCTATCTCTGTAGGGTATTCTTTAAATCAGTTATTACCTTTCCATTGATCCTGTAGCATATCAATTCAAGATTAGAAGCTTCTTCTGAGTTTTAAGAGGTCTATGAAAACTTTCCTTATTATTCTGTATCTGTTTTCACAGATGTTCATTGTAATACTGCTTCTATCTCTTCAAATAGCTCCTCGAAATCTTTTATTAAGTTGCACTCTTCAATCAATCGATGAAACTGAGATAACTATCATATTAAAGAATTGTCTGTGAAATCTGATATTGTTTGGTCATTGATTGCATCTTTCCTGACTTACTTTGTTTTTCAAGTCCCAATTAGTAAATTAGTAGATTTCCTGACTAAAAGTGCCCAATTTTGATTCATTTCAGTTTGATAATGGCGAAGAAATCAATGTGTGGTCAATGTTATTTCAGCTTGTACTGCGTTGAGCATAACTTTATGCTTATGTTCCTTTTTTATTTTTATTTATTTTTTGCTCTTTCAAATTCAGTCTTTACTCCTGGTGATTGCCTGAAGTCTCTTGCAGTTTTTTTTTCAGAAGTGGTTTGCTATTGCCTCATTTATGAACAGCTTGTCTTCAGAAGTTGTAGGTGCTTCATCACTAGAGGTCTTTTAAAAAAAGACTGGACAGCAGCAGTGGGCTGCTCCCCATTCAGACCACTTTGGGTGAACCGGTAGTTCCGACCACCGGCTGGGCCTGACCACCTGCCCCAACGCTATCCCATCGCTATGACTCACTTTTTGGCTCGCTCGGACTTCCCTCGCAGCCCCGCTGATTTCTAGCCCGCTCTACTCCCCGTGACTGCCCGAGAAGCATGAAATCTCCATGTTTTCGAAGCTGCGCACAAGCTCACATTTTCAGTTCAGTAGGCAAACCGGTTGTTAACTTATGTGAAGCCCACTTGTGCTGGACAGCCACCTAGCAAAAATGGTATGGGATCTCCTGCTTGAGCAAGGGGTTGGACTAGAAGACCTCCAAGGCCCCCTCCAGCTCTATTCGGATTGATTGACATAGTCTAAGGTCTCCTGCTTGAGCAGGGGCTGGACTAGAAGCTCTCCAAGGCCCCCTCCAGCTCTATTCTGATTCATTCCTAGAATTAAGAGCGAGAAAGTGGCCCAAGATCAGCTAGCTGGCCTTGTGGCCAAGGTAGAAGTAGAGCTCACCTTTCCCAGCATTCGAGCTTCACCACAGTGCGACAGTAGGTCTTGGTGTCTGAAATAAGAATCTTTGAACCCGGTCATTGCAGCCTTTCTCAGCTGGGGTTCCACTAACACCCAGAGTTCCATAAGAGGTCAATAGCGGTTCCCCAAGATTGAAAAAAATAAATAGCCCTGTTTAACGCTATTGCTATAATTCACATTGACGGGAATTTTTACCTGTGATGATTCAGTTGCTGTTATGTGATATGGCAAGTTTGACACCTGTGACTTAGACACTTTCCTAGTGGATTATTCTGTTTATTTATACACTACATATTTTGCCTGAAAAAATGAACAATTTTGGTACATGCGGAGAGACAAAAGGATGGAGCAAAAAGTCTGTGACACCTCAGAAAAATATGATGCAAGCTTTAGGATGTGCTAGAATCATAGACTTGGAAAAAGCCAAATAGACCATTAAGCCTATCCCATTGTTCGATATGATAATCCAAATTATAACATACCAGGCAGTCAAGCCTCTACTTGAATACATCCACCAAACAGCAATCCAACATCAAGCAGTTGATTCCGTGATTGAAATGCTCTTACTGGCAGAATTTTTTTTAAAAAAATTCTGGTGTAGGGTTTCCTACCTAAGCAGGAGGTTGGACTAGAAGACCTCCAAGATCCCTTCCAACTCTGTTATTCTGTTTTCTGTTTAATAACATCACAAACCAATAAATTTAGCAAGAGATCAAAACCCAGACAAAAGATCATTTTTCCCCTCCATCTTTTTTCTATTTTTCCTATGAATTCATTAATCCATTAATATTTTTAGCATTTTTAATTTTATATCTTACAATATTGCTTCCTTGGAGGACAGCCGATTGCAAAAACTTGCATTAAGTTTGAAATAGGATTACCATTTCTATTCTTGATGCCTTTGTTCATTGTACCCAACCATGGCATAAACATACCTTGGCAACTTTTTTTTTTTGGCCAAGCCTTCATAATGTTATTTTTATGTAAACTCCAATTCACC